ACTTTTTTACCAAGTCATACTTAGGGAATGGCATATGTTGAGTTATAGCAACTGTCATGCTATGACCCGTCAACCTGGTCAGAAACAACAAATCCTATACTCTGATAGTCTGATATGAGCAATGTTTGCTTGTGTATGTATGTATGTATTGGTATAAGGTATAAAATACAATTTTAGACACTAGCGCATTCTGTGACTAGCTCACACAACAACGTTCTTTTTTAATAAACGCGAACACAGACCACGGACGAAACCCTGTTAAACAGTGATCATTGACTTGTTAATACGCTCAACGCTGCAATCGTGTTTGGAAAACAAATAATATAAAAGCTACATAGGAAGTGTGCACACTGCATACATACATACTTTGATGCAGCAAAGTAAAGAACAGTTTTTCCAACTACTATATGACGTCACCAATCATCATATCCACAGACCAAGCGACGCAATTGTGCGTCAGACTTCCCTGTTAGACCACTACCACTGCAGATAAATTTATTGCCTTCAAATAGAACATTACAAAGATATACGCATTTTGATAACATTGGAACACCGACGCAAATATGCGTCGTCAGTACATACATATACGTCGCTATATAAATGAAAAATTGTGTACTATTGCGGTAGCAAAACGTAACTACAGTAAGAAGCATTGGTTTTTCCAGAATAATAGCGTACCAATTTGATGTTTTTATGTTAACAAATCAGTGTAGCAGAGCAAGGTTGAGTGAATGTATGTTCGTGTAAAACAATTCGGCCCGTGTGTGGTGCTATTTCCAGTAGAGTAGAGTATTATACAATTATACATGATGTGCCATGTAATTTAAATAATACAAGTAGACATCTCATTTAGAGATCAGAGATCGAGTATTTATTTTGGATATTGTAGACATCCTATATTTACTTATTATTACTTAAAACATATGAAGGATTGAATTTGGAAAAGTACTGAACTCCGCCCTCCGCCACGGCCACCTTTAACTCCAGGCCGCGGTCTGGTAGAATCAGAAATCAGAATTATTTATTTGTCATTGGACATTACAAAAAATAATTGACAATTTTGTCATGTTTAGCATGGCTACACCATCGATCTCTATAAAGATCGATGGGCTACACTCAGGCTAGATATTACAAATAACATGTTTAATATGTTAATTTTTTAGGTGTCAGCTCTGTGGATTACCAACAGAATGGAATGTGATTTAACAATAAATACATTTTATAAATAAATATGATAATTTAACAAAGAATAAATTATATGAACCAACAATAAAATACTGATAACAGATATTAAGATAAAAATTTATAAAAATTAACAAATGTTGATAGACAATTAATAATATTGAATTGACAATGTCGCAAAAGTAGGGTTGTTTAGTGTCAGACTTCCCATATAATAAGATAACATGGCAGAGGAGACATCAGCTCATTAATTCGTACCTTATTGATTAAAATTAAAATTTATCAACACAGATTTATTAAAACATTGAACATAAAACTTAAAGAATTGAAAACCAAAACAAAGATTAATTGAAAATATATATCTGTACATTTAAAGCGGAGTCAACTTTCAATTACAGGCCTACCTTAGGGCTATGCCTCATAGATCTATTAAAGCAATTCCTTTTATCATTAGATACAAAATATGGACTAACACGATCGGGTGACATTTAATTGCGAAGCATTCGTTTTCGTTTTGGCTTTGAAACTTAGCACACTTATGCAAACCAACTCCTGTTCTGAATATAAGGTTTTAACTTACTACAAGATTCCCGTACGTAGATCGGGCAAACAGCCAGACAAACCAGCTGTACAACCCCACTTGCGACGTGACTTTGCCACTTCGAAGGCCACGGCCTGGGGCCCATTTCATAATACAGTAAGCTACAAGTTACAACTTGTAACTTGTAATTTCCATTAGATTTGCATTGGGCGATCAGCTGATTTACTAATAATATTAGTTTGTACTTTATTATGAAATGGGCCCCTGGAGTTAAAGATGGCCGTGATTGTAAAAATGACAATGCCTATTGCATTTACCATATACCGAATGGCTAATAAAATGATTTATCATTTACATCTAGTGATATTATATGTTTATTCATAGGTAAAACAACTGAACATTCCATCCCCATGTTAAATTTGTAGCCAGTTTTTTTTATCAAAATCCTTATAGTTGGTGTGAGCCACCTACAGATTGCGCTGACCTAAATTACTAAATTATGCTGAATACACAATATTCAAACTTAGGAAATGACTTATGATGAGTTATAGCAACTGTTTACACGGTTAGTAACAACAATAAGGTATACACTAGAATTTTACACACTAGCACATTCCTGCAACTGGCTCACACAACACAACTAAGTTACATCCTGTTTTAATAAAATATTGGCTACAGCTGGTCCATATAGATGGAAAGTCAACTTTAGTATCCAATAGTCAATGATAAAACATACTTTACGCCACACTACATTATTTTGACGAACTTCCCACGCAAGGATTTAGTTCAGAAAACAGCTGTTTGCCGCCAGCTTATTCAAATGGGGTTTCATTGCGTGCTACTGTTCTGCAATGAGTTTTACCGGACACCAATCAGCTGATTATACTGTATTTGCGTGGTAATTATTGGTTATAAACAAAAACATAACTTTCTCAGAGGTTATGACTAGTGTAGTGATTTGTATTCCTTTAGTTGGTGGAAATATATAAGGATTTGTACGAAATAAGTAGTATGGCGTAAACTGTCGTACGTAACTCGTCCAAAATGTGTGTCCCGGACTCGTATGGTAATCCCGTACTCGACTTTGTCTCGCACGGGAACGACCACACTCGTCCGGTAAACACTTATTTTCAGGACTAGTAACGTAATATACTATTTCCTACAGTCACCCGACAAAGTTGGCTTCCTTGTACTGTTTATAGTACAGAAAGCTGCTAATTGCTGCATATTTATACTTTGCCGTACGGTTTATACTTTGCCGCACATCAGGATTCCAACGAAACAACACAAAACAGCGTGGTTCTATTATGCACGTAATCCGTGTACGCTTGGAAATAGGTTGGCAACACTTAAAGATAATAATACTATGAGCAGCTGATTGACTATTATAACTACGATTTAACCTGTCATTTCGTGTTTATAGTTTCGGTATTTCTGAACTTCCTGGACTTTTCTTTTAAACGTTTTTAAAACATTCCTACGATCTTAATAAACAAAAAAAATACATTTAAAGCATTGTTTTAGGCGCGGAAACCACTTCAAATTACAAAAACATACGGAACTATATTTTCAAAACGCGATCTATGGTTTAATTTTTAGATACTGTTATCCCAAACAAAACGTTAAGAATATAATCAGCGATCCTGAAATTTAGTTTTTTTTACAAATCTCCATGCCTGTCGTTATTCTTCCTCCCAATGAAAAAAGTGTCTAGGTAGTCGGGTAAATATAGGATATGACCTTAAAAAAATTGCAAGAAAACGTTTTATGGTTTTATTTTGTAGAGTTGGGTTTGCAGAATGACATACTAAAAGTTGCCAAAAATCGGTGCACGAGAAAACCACTAAAATCACAATTTAAAATGGCGGCTTTTTTCAACATTGGACAAATTAAAAAAACATATTTCACATGCATTTGCTATGCACATTTTTCGAGATATTGACTTGGGACCACCGCCTGTATTTATTGAGTGGTTAGTACTTCATTTTGATAGGGAACATGTTTTTGGCCGCCATCTTGGATCCGCCATATTGGACATAGATAATTTTTTTTCAATGTAATGATAGTGTTGTGACACATCATTACCAACTACATTTTTACACTGATTTCAATGCCGAAATCCGTTTTTAAATATCTTTATTCATTTAGAAGATATATACAAAAGAAAACTCTGCACCATACATTTCTTATGGACGTTTCGTAGTTTGATATTTTTTTTAAAATTATTTTTCTTATATCTCCAGTTCTTATTAACGCTTGTAGTTCGTTCTAGGCTTAAAATATTCAGTAATGTAAGGGCTTTCATTTGAGCTCTTGATCATTAAAATCAGACGAGTTAAAGACCTGCTACGAACCTCAGAACAATATTAAATTTAACTTTTTAGAAATATATTTTTATTAAAATATTTATAACTCGGGTTGTTAATACGTCACCAAGTTCTTTCTTGTCTCAAATTACTCAGTGAATGTTTAGCTTTGATTTTATTAATCACTAAACAAAATCTGACAATTTTAAAATGAGCCATGGACCATAATTTAACATTAAAATGTATTTATTTTGAAATTTGTCTTTAGTTAAGGACATATATCCCAAACCCTAATAACTCCTGGAAAGTAATCCATAGCTAAAATAAAAGTCAATATTTTGGCGAATTATTTAAGACTATAAAGAGTTTTGGGAGTTATTTAGAATTAGGAATATACGTCTTTAACTAAAGACAAATTTCAATATAAATACATTCTAATGTTAAATTAAGGTCCATGGCTCATTTTAAAATTGTCAGATTTTGTTTAATGATCAATAAAATTAAAGCCAAACATTTACTGAGTAATTTGAGACCAGAAAGAACTCGGTGACGTATTAACAACCCGAGTTATAAATCTTTTAATAAAAATATATTTCTAAAAAGTTAAATTTAATATTGTTCTGAGGTTCGTAGCAGGTCTTTAACTCGTCTGATTTTAATGATCAAGAGCTCAAATGAAAGCCCTTACATTACTGAATATTTTAAGCCTAGAACGAACTACAAGCGTTAATAAGAACTGGAGATATAAGAAAAATAATTTAAAAAAAAATATCAAACTACGAAACGTCCATAAGAAATGTATGGTGCAGAGTTTTCTTTTGTATATATCTTCTAAATGAATAAAGATATTTAAAAACGGATTTCGGCATTGAAATCAGTGTAAAAATGTAGTTGGTAATGATGTGTCACAACACTATCATTACATTGAAAAAAAATTATCTATGTCCAATATGGCGGATCCAAGATGGCGGCCAAAAACATGTTCCCTATCAAAATGAAGTACTAACCACTCAATAAATACAGGCGGTGGTCCCAAGTCAATATCTCGAAAAATGTGCATAGCAAATGCATGTGAAATATGTTTTTTTAATTTGTCCAATGTTGAAAAAAGCCGCCATTTTAAATTGTGATTTTAGTGGTTTTCTCGTGCACCGATTTTTGGCAACTTTTAGTATGTCATTCTGCAAACCCAACTCTACAAAATAAAACCATAAAACGTTTTCTTGCAATTTTTTTAACGGTCCCTATGTAAGTTTGTTTAGTTTGCCTGGACTAAGGGGAGAGGAGAATCCAATGAATGATTCCATGAAGAATGAAGAAGAAAGGAATCGTTCAATCGTTTCGTTTGTCATCTTCTTGTGTTGTGTGTTGTGTTGTGACTAATAAAATTACAAATAACATTGTTGAGTTGTGTTGATGTTTACGTTTCATATCACATAACTGGTGGGTGAAAACTATTTTATGTACAAAAAAATGTACTATTTTCAGATCGATGGGCTCTGAATTTTACAATATTTAGTTAAAATAATGCCCAAGGAAAATTCCTAGTAAGTTAGTTCACTTCCTATTGATAAATATGGTGCAGGCAAGGTTATGAGCAGCAAGTTACAAGGTCAGACTCGTTTTATTCTGTAAGGATTTTATTACTTTACAGTAAGTTTACATCTTAACTTGGTTTTCAGGAACAGATAGGCTACCGTAGTTGAAAACTGGCGATAACATCCAACAACAAATGATACTTGGTGTTCACCAATACATTGGTGGTCTTTTTATCAACGATGGAAAATTCAGAGGAGAATCTACCAGCTAACCTGGAAAAGTTGCAGATTAGCCCCCTTAGGTAGGCCTACGATACTAAAATTAAAACATAGGGCCTAGTCTTTAGAGCTGTTAGCTTTAAGATGGCTTTGTGTCAAGAATCAATATCAGGTAGCAAACTAGCCTAATACATTAAAACTTGGTGGCCTATAAACTTATTTAACTTGTGTAGGTGGGTCCAGGTACCTTACTAAATTGTTACCGTGTAGCATCAAATCCAATCGATAAGTAGGCCTAACAGCCCTAACTAAAAAGTACCGGTAGGCCTAACTTAGGCCTAGTAAGTTATGGAGAATATTAAGTTTAGGCCTAAGGCTATAGAAAATAAATTAACTTAATATAATAGGTATGCCTAACATGTTTCAGGTGACATTTTCGTTAATAACCTTAGTTACTCGGCTGTATTTTTCCGCAAATGTCCAGCAATAGGCCTAGATTTTATAAGGCGCGCACACTACTTATTGCTGACTTTACCCCCCCTAACTTAGACCCCAGGTACATGATATTGATACTGTCGTGTCCGTTAGTGTGTCTTCTATCAGGTGACATTATCGGTAAACCTCCTCGGATGTATTTTTCTGCAAATGGCCAGCAATAGATTTTAGAAGGCGCGCGCACTACTAACGTCTTAAACCCCCCCTAACTTAGTCCCCAGGTACATACAGTAATATTGATACTGGGGTGTCCGTTAATGTATCCTATATCAGTTGACACTATCGGTAATAACCTACTCGGATGTATTTTTCCGCACAAGGCGTGCACACTACTTATTGCTCCATTTACCCTCCCCCCCCCTAACTTAGTCCCCAGGTATGCCTACATGATATTGATACTGTCGTCCCCGTTAACACGTTCAGTGCGACGGGCGCCGATCGGCGGCCGAGCGGTGTCCCGTTACGCGTGCGGCGGACGCCGATAGGCGCTTCGTGTAGCATCGTGTTTGGCGCCAAGATATCAGCTGATCGTTCATTTCACGTGTTTTTGCGCTACGGTGTGTTGTTGTTGAAGAGTTAGGTTATGTTTTAGTGTTGATCGTTTGTAGTTTTGCGATAGTTCGTAATAGTGAAAATTATGGATGAAAATCCAGGCCCTTCAAACCGTAAAAAACGAAAATGTAACGGTGATTACATCGATGTAGACAATCTTACTGTTAGAAAAAAAATTGTACTAAAAAAATTATAAAAATATATAAATATATTCAAAGGAAAAAGGACTTGTTTTCTCTTTGTAGCAACAGGCCGTAATGCTCGTCAACCATGACGTCACGATAGAAGACGGCAATGACGTAATTTAAGGTTATATTTTTGTTTTTGATGAAAAGAAAAACAAGCAGCTGATCACAAACGGCAAACATTACGTCATTGCCCTCTTCTATCGTGACTCTTCTATCATGCTAGACGAGCATTACGGCCTAGCAACCGATTCATACAAGGACGCCTATAGGCGCCCGCAGCATCCAATACCAAAACTCTCAAAATTTCTTGGCTGGAGGCTGTGGACGCCCATAGGCGTCCATATATAATTTTTATATGTATTGGCTATATTTTACATAGAGTAAAAGCTTTGGCATGAATAAACTTATTTTAAATGTCTTTGAAAAAAATAATGATGCAGCCACTGGGGAATGGATCGTGAATTCTTCTATAGCAGTGAACGTGTTAATGTGTTCTCTATCAGGTAACATTATCGGTAATAACCTACTCGGCTGCATTTTTCCGCAAATGGCCAGCAATAGATTTTATAAGGCGTGCTCACTACTTATTGCTGACTTTATCCTCCCTAACTTAGTCCCCAGGTAGACCTACATAATATTGATACTGGCGTTCCGTTAATGTATCCTCTATCACTATTGGTACCGGTAATAACCTACTCGGCCGTTTTTTCCTTAAAACGGCCAGCAATAGATTTTATTAGGCGGGCGCACTACTTATTGCTGACTTTACCCCCCCTTAACTTAGTCCCCAGGTACATGATATTGATACTGTCGTGTCCGTTAATGTGTCCCTATCAGGTGACATTATCCGTTATAACCTACTCGGCTGTATTTTTCTGCAAATGGCCAGCAATAGATTTTATAAGGTAGGCTACGTGCACTACTTATTGCTGAGTTATTGCCAGGTTCACACAATTTGCCTAACTTAAAAACCATTCAATTAACCCTCGGTGTTGTAGGCCTAATACCTAAGTTAACTTATCAAAGGTCTGCAGTGATTTGCTTTAAATCAAGAAACATTAAACCAAAATTAACTTTATAGCCTATTTCACAATTGGTGACGGCTGATTAAAATTAACCCTTGCCGACAGACCGCCACCGCCCACCACCACCCAACACTGCTCGAGCAAACACCATTACCGCAACAATACGTTGAACAGCCGTAGGTCTCGGTGGTGTAGTGAATAGCGCACCAGGCTGATAATTCGGAGGTACTAGTAGCCGGTCTGAAACCCACCGGAGGCATTAACTTTCTGACTCAATTTTTTCATTATCAGCAAGTTTGGTTGGTTTGGTTCGGTTATGATGGTTTAATTTTTTAATTAAAAAATTATATAGGCCTAATTGTATTAGGGATCTATAAATGCGCTACCAGAAACTAGATTTTGAGCTGAAAATAACGGTGAAAACATTCATCTGAGCTCATATAACTGGTACCTGAACTACGGCCGTTTAATGTTTTGATTACTTTTGTAAATGTATCAATGTGAAACTTTCAATAGATCAGAAATAACTCCGCCCCCTTCTCATACCGCCCCTCCGACAATCACACGTCACAGTAAAACTTTATTCGGTAATAGGTGAAATAGCCTAATACTTGTCTAGTATTTTGTCACCTATTACTCCCTCATCAAGGATATTTAGCATAAGCCAGATATGTCCATAGAAAAACACAATCAGTGATTGTACTCACGTCTGTTCAGTACTTGTGTTCTAACACTTCAGAAAAAATCATCTTATTACACAGGTACCGGTATATTATTTTGCAATGCTCACCCTTAATAAGACATGATAGTTTTTTTCACTTGCTCGTTTCAATAGGCCTAGTTTAGACTATGTTACAAAAATAACTTACGGTAGATAAGTTAAAAAAAGTAAAAAAAAGTAGGTAGATAAGTTATATTATTTAGCGATACTTGTCGTTAATAATAAGACACTTTCAGTGTTACTTTACACCCTAGTTTTAACATTTCAGACAGCGTTAATTACAAAAAGATTAAGCATATTTTGTGCTAGAAAAAACTGTGTACCTATTTTGACGTCTAAGTATGTGTCTTTTCTTTTCAAACTGCCTTTACCTTTTAAGGTACGGTAATTGAATGTCTGTTGTGTGCTGAGTAGGCCTATGTGTGTTTTCAAACTGCCTTTACCTTTAACGTAAATGGAATGTCAACATCATAGCAGGCCTATTGTATCTGTAATTGAGTGTGTTGCAGTGGTTTGTGCAACAAGGTTTAAGATCTAGGCTCAAAGGATGTAAAAAAGATTGATGGGTATAATTACAGACCACTTTCCATTGAAGGAGTTTCCTTAGTAACATGATATGCTGTTCTCACAGTGCTCAGCCGAGATGTGTTGCCAACTTTAACCCTTTTGCTGCAAACAATGTTGCTACAACGGCCTTAGTTGCTGTGGGGACTTCGTCTTCTTCACCTGAGTCAGTCTTTCAGTCTTTGTCTCTGTACGGTGCAGAATGTCCATCGGGCTCTTGTTTGTGTAACAAGAAGAAGAAATCTCAGGTTAGTTGAAAATTAGGTTTCAATCGTCTAACCTATTTTTACATATCTGTAAACAGTTTTAACCTATTAAAAATGCGAAACCTTGCATGTACAAAAAAGGTGTAGGCCTATTCTGTTCACAAAATTAAGACAATTTATGGGAAAGCAATTCTATCCTTTGAAAAAATTGTTTGACAGCTGAGGTTTGGCAAAATGTTGCCTGCTGCTTAACATAACCTAAATTTCTGAATTAACAACCATTAATTCAACAACCCAATTAACTGCTCCTTTGTCTGTGTTTGCTACTGTACTTAATATAGAGGACATTGTCTTGGTGGGTTTTTAAACACCTCATACGTAGAGTAGGGCCTAAGCTTGCTTGTGCTATACCGGTAGCATTTTTAGTGACCTGATTTTTGCTTGGTTTGTATATCCAAGTCTTTAGGCCTACTTAAGTTTCATGTGGCATTTTATTAAAATAATACTTAATTATGTTAATAGAATGTTAAACAGTAAACATAAATAATTAAATATAAACAAACATTCATTACATTTTTACCTTTATAATCAGCTTCTAAGTGGTGGGGGAACCCATGATAACTTCCCATTAAAATGCCTAAATTCTGTGCACAGACAATAACTTAACAGACCCTAATTTTCAACTGTACAGCCTAAAGATTTGTCTTTTGAAATTTTTAAAAACACATTTTTGGAACCACTTTGTTTTTTTTTTTATTTAAATCTTATACCATATTAAATGCTATAGGCCTACCTAAAAATATATTTTAAATGGCATAGCTTTATGTCAATACTCTAACTGATACAAATAGGTATATTGATGCACTGATGTAAAATGACTGGTATACTGGTACGAATTCCGTATTGATTTATAAGTCTACAGTAGTGAACACAGAAAAACAATGGGCATAAGTTACCTTAAAAAAAATATGTTTTTGTCAAAACTACCATTTTGGTACCGTACCTAAAACACTGGATGCAACGCCTCAGAAGGGGAATTGAGCTATATTGCGTAGGCCACTGGCCTACTGTTTACAGATGTGATAATTTCCATGCAGTGGTAGGAAAAAGCTATTTTCGGGCAATAACAATTTTTGTTAGTTTAAAACGTGAATTAGGCCTAATAGAAAAATTTTGCAGGCCTATTGATTTTAAAATGACTAAACGTTTTGAACCAAATGGAAGAAAATAATAAACATCAAAAAATAAGAAGAAAGTGAATATACAAATAATGGCTGCTTTTAAGGTGTCAATCAAACACCATGGCAAGATTGTCATGTTAATGATTTAACTGTGTCATAGGTCATAGTCATAGGTTGTGTGTGTATTCCAGATGAGCACGTTTGTGCAGAAGACGAGTTTCAAGCGGCCAGTGCTGAGACGCAGCCACCTCGGTGTGGTGAGTCGTCGAGTTCTGAGAGCTCCAGTCCTTCGCTTCAGAGAGACAGTGGCAATCATGCGTCCCTTGGACCATCCGACAACTCTTACCTCTCACCTAGCCTCGCTTGATCTGTCAACCTCACAGGGCAAATTGCTCGGACTGGATCCGCAAAACATGAAAGATTTCAAATCCCTTGTGTCGTTCAATCCGAAACTCGATCTAAAATACAAATCACTCTCCCGATTCGAAACCGTAAGCTTCATCGAGTTGAGAACAAAGAGGGATAAACATTTCATTGTCGGCTTGCGGTCGCCGAGAAGAAGAACGTATTCTGATAGCACTGCCCTCTCGTTACCCTCCACCTCGGAAAGTGAGAGTGAGACTGCCCAGCGGCCGCAGGCCTCGTGCTCTATTCAGGCGAGGATGACTCCCGATGATACTAACATCGACGAGCTCGCTAGCTACTTCGACCTGTTTGTTCACATCCCGAAAAAGATGTCACACATGGCTGAAATGATGTATATTTAAATCTGAAAAGCCAGTTTGGCAAGGACTATTCCATTTTTTTGTTATCGAGTGTGTGAAACAACGCTGATTAGTATTCTCTTTGATCCTTATACAAATTGGTACAAACTATGTGTGGTTTTTGTTTATTGTCAGCTTATTTGCTTAAGCCTTTTTTTCATTAAATTATTGTATTTCTTATTTAACAATATTAAATATTTACAGCAATAAGTTGACTTTTTTTACCCATTGGTGGGAGTTCTATATGGAGCAAAACATCAACCATGCAATTTAGTAGGCCTGAACAATATGATGAAACATTTTTGACCTCTAAATTAATTTCAACTGTCGATTATCTGATCGTAGATTGACTAACCTCAGTAAGTACTTAACAACAAACTATGGCAAGCACTTAACTGCAATGAATATTGTAATTGCTATGTGTAAAAAAAGAGATCTGTAGAAGTTTACTAAGGTGAGGTTTTCTAAAGAAATTTTCATTTCCACATACATTTTGCTCTCTCTACACATAATATGTACATTCTATTCAACATAGGTCTGACAAAATAGGTATAGTAATTTATGATTGACATTTTAAAATGACGACATAAAACAAAAACCTAAACAAGGTTTAATATTGAATTTGTAAGTGTTTTCTAGGTTTAATTGTCATGGTTTTCATATAACATTTGATACCAAGCCACAGAAATTTGAGGCTGTTCTATGGTAAAATATTCATGACACTGAAATCATAAAATGGATTAATTTAAATTTAACTAAAGATTTATGTATGTACTTAGTTTATTTGACATAATAGTAAAATCAATCGTAAGCTTTGTGTAACAATTTTTAAATTTACAAATTCTTAAGTAAGCATTATATCTGCGAAATAAGACATAATATTGTGTTTTTATCTACATAATCAAACCTACATCATCATTGTTATTATTATCTGTGCAGTTCTCTCCCAATGATATGTCCGTATAACATTGTCCGTACAACATCAAAAAAATATAAAAAGCCAACATATACAGTCTTGCATCTTACTATTCATTTTTCATCTTGACTTGGTGTAGTTACACTTCAGGTATATTTTGCCCATGCATTGGTTTCATTTTCTTGTCATTTTCAATTTTCAAATTGTCCTTATCTATGACTTTTTCTGACCATTCGATTTTTCCTTGAAATGCATTGACATCTGGCGATTTACCAAGACTTGCAAGGGCTTCAGCCATTTTCATATCAACATTATCCTTATCAACTTTGTTCAAGTCTTTCAAAACCGGTTCAGGTTCGTCGTAATCATGTGGTGACTCTTCTGGCGGGAGTTGTATGGGTGGATTCGATTCAGAAAGTGTTCTAAAAGGATCGTTCGGATCATTAAGACTATTCAGAGACTGTGACTTAGATAGTTTTTTTGCAATATCCCCCAAAAAGTCTGGAGTGGTCATGGTTTGAATATTTAGAGTTACTCCTTTTCGTCTCTCATTTAAGTATTGTTGTCTCAGTCGTCGTTTTGTTGACCTAGCTGGTAAAGTAATATGGGCATTAGAGAATGAGTCTGCACTGTTAATTCTTGTTTTTTTATTAATCAGCTGTCTTTTGGTAGATTGATCGTAAGCTGGCGAGGAAGTAGCTTTTGTGATTGTTTGTAAAATATTTTTGGTTGTTGAATTATTAAATCTGCTATTTGAATACCTTTCAATATCTGAGCTTGTGTAACCACCTTTAGCATTGTAATTGTTTTGCGAGTCTACGTTGGTTCGTTGTAAACCATCAGTGATTTTCTGATGGCCTTGTTTACTCCGATGATGAAATTTAGATGGGATTGGTGTGGATAACTTAGTACTGTTTCTCTCAACGAACTTCTCCATTTTTAGGTTATTTTTAGTTTTATAAGTTGGTCTTTTATTTTCTGTTATTGGATCTTGTATTTCTGGCTGGTTACCTTCTTCAAGTTCTGTCTTTTCTTCCTCGTCTACAACTCTGCTTTCGTGATTCTTTGATTTGTTCCATTTTATTATCCCACCAAGAAGTGGTTCTTGTTTTTTTGTTTTATTATCTGTTTTGTTCACACTTTCCAATAAGATATCTTTGTTGGGTTTTCCATCTTTGGAATCTTGGTTACCACCATTCATTTCCTCTCCATTGGTAACAGAGCTTCTTCCTTCGCTAACTTTATCTGTGTTATTTTTCTCAGTCTGGAGTTCATTTCTTTCCCGACTGTTGAAGTTTGTATCCTGCGTTTTTTCTTTTGTGTTATAAATGTTATAATCATTTTTGTCTTTAAATTTCTCTTCTATATTTGTTTTTACCTGTTCAGCTACATGTTTCTGATCAGTGTTTCCCTCTTTCTTTATGCTACTGTTATTTTCACTTTTAAGTGGAAATGTGCTTTTACTTACATTTTCATGACTAACCTGTTGTAGGCTGTTAAGTGAAGACTGTGTACTATTATAAGTCTCAGGAAGGGAAATATTCAAATTTGGGGTATAGCTTTCTTCCAGGTGAAATTTTTGATCGCTATTTCTATTTATAGACACTGGTTCCTTAGAAGTGTTCCTATTGAGGTTTTGGCTGATAGCTTTGTCATTGCCTATGACTATGTCAGAATCTATGGTTTGTTTGTCACTGCCCAGTTTGTTTGTATTGGAATTTTCATTTCTAACATTTGTGTTATTAGTAATCTCATTGATGATTTTACTTTTTTGTCCCAAACTTTCCTCATTGCTAGTAACCTTACTATTTGCATCGCTTATGTTCTCCTTCTCTCGCCCTATTATCCCATTGCTATTATTTTGTTTCAGAAACTCTGTGTTTGTCGTTCTGCTGGTAACAAGTAGAGGAGTTGAATCAAACTGAATTTCTTCACTGGATGTTTTATCAATCTTTTCTTTCTCTTTCAGTTGTATCGGAAGAACCGATTCTGAGTTATTTTTCGGGTTAATCAAAACAATATTATTTTCATTTGGGTTAACCTTTAGAGTTTCATAAAATCCAGCCTTTAATTCATGGATTGTTTGGTTTGCTGGAATCCGCTCTGAGTCTATATTCTTATTCTTCCCTCTCAGTTTTGATCCTTCTAGCAGACTTTTGTCAAAAGTAGATTTTAATCCTGTTTCATTTTCGCTATCTTCCTTTGCACTTGTTTTTTGGTCTTTTGAATTTTCCTGATTCTCCAAAAAGGAGTCTTCAATTTCTGATTCATCTTCTTCATGTTCTTGGGGTAGATATTTTTTGCTATCTTCATTTTCCAAAGGTTTGCCAAACATTGATATCGAATCATTCTTATTATCACTTGAAGCTGCTTCTATCAATCTGCTCCACACCTTTGCGCCTCCTTTTAGATCAGCAGATCGAGCTGGAAAAAAAAACCGTAACAAAAAGAAAATAGTATATTTTACATCTAGTTAAAAAAATTTAGTTAAGTTTTCTAAAAATTTATATTATTTAATTATTATTTTATGTAATTTTTTATAGTTTTTTTTTTATAGAATATCAATGATTTGATTTAGTTTTATATAATAAACAATGAAATTTTAATGAGCTCGACAAATATTATTTCTAACCGTAAAGCAAAAACATTTCTTTTTGCCCAATACTGAGTATTGGCATAGTTAAAAGCCATTAGTAAATGTGAGATTTGAACTGTGATCCCTAAGACTGAAACATACCATTCCACAATCACTAGACTAGACCAACCACGTTCTAGTCAGTAAAAATATTCTATTGAATCTCTAAATTTGTAAAACTTTCCTACCTTTCCGTTTAAAACCATCGGCTTCATCTTCAGAGGAGGAGCTGTGTGTCTTATTCTCTCCAAGTTTGATGTAACGAAGTGCTTTCAGTTTTCCATCTTGAATATTAACCAGGCAAGTGCAATCGAATTCATCCGTTCCACAGCTGATAACAATGTCAAATAAAGTATTGGTTTTATTTTTACATTTCTTCTAAGATTGTGTTTTTGACACTATTAATTTATGTACATAATTTCTTGGATCCCAAAATAACAATACCATATCAATGAGTATAAATTTAATCTGTGTAGTAAAAAGTGTTATTGACTATACTGTACATCACTTTTTGGGTATGCTGAAATGGAAGTTTATTTTTTAATTTTTTTTATATTCAAGAGGGAAATCTTAGAAAACAGAGTTGTAGGTATTATTTGATAGTCACAGATGAGGTGGTTGTTGAATCTAGGTATACTTCAATCAATGTTACACACAGAATGCATTTTTAACAATGATTTTCTCAAGCTAGCGTCCTTATTAAATCCCTTTTCATTTTAACCAAGAGGGGGGGCAATAGAACCAATGACATATAAGAAGCTATGCAACAGGATCTTATAGAAAATCTATCCTGTTCAAACGTTTACCCCACATAGGCAATTGATACCAGGCTAGAAGTGTCAGTTTAGTACAAAACAAACTCTAAGGGGCAAAGAAATAACAACGAAAATAGTTTGTAGAATATTTTACGACTCAAATTTAATCCTCACCATTGCAATCCAGGGCCGAGACAGTCAAATGCAGGTTCACCTCTGTAATAAATGTAACAGGTGTTTCATAAGTAATAGGTTAGTTATTAAATTAATGGTTGATTTTTTATCCTATGAACTATCGTTTGGCTTATAGTTGCCATCTGACATTGGTATCACTGACGTTTTGTAGTAAGTAGGTAGCAATAAAACATTTTTTAGATAAAAATATATAAAAATATATATATATAAAAATTAAAACCACTGGTATCGGAATACAGATGTACAGTTATATGTTTTCAACTATTAATGGTAATTGATAAATATCAATGATTAAGTTTAAATGTTCACTTCTCAATACGTAACTGCACTCAGGTTTTAACCCCATAAGAGGTTTTTTTGTTGCCATGCCCCATGGAGACCGAATCAATACTTATTAACAAAAGCTCAAATGCCTTTGAAGCTTAGGACGTCAAAAAGGCGCAGCCCGAGGTTTTTTAAAGCTCATGCTAGACATAAATGTTGGTTTAGTTCCTCGCATCTACCTTAGTGTGGTGAAATCTACCAGTAGGGTTTTCTTTTGGAACATAACAATCACCACCTCTTCCTTATAAAATTGACTAGGTACCCCTCTAAGAGCAGCTTACTTATCACTTAAGCAGTCTGTCTCAAACTGTCGTAGGCCGCAGTCTCTGTCATGAGTCGTAGACTTCCACTCTGCCCATTGCGATGTGACTACGCGTCTCAGACT